GAATGTTGGAGCGCGAAACCTTCTCTCCGTGGCAAAAACTCCCTCGGCAGCAAATCGTCCCTCGCGGTCGCATATTACTCGCGTCGCTCAGAGAAAAAATAACACCGACGCCCAACAAGACTGCGAAGGAGGCTAGCCTTACACTACTTACAGGGACCAGATTTCTGTAGCCATGTTGAAACTTTCCTTGTTTGTGAGATCTGCTTTTTGTTTTTTTATTCATGCTATAGTTATTAGTAGTTAGTCCACGATTTTTACTAAATTCATTTATTCAATACAACTTGTTTACTAGAGCTTGTTGATTTTGTTAAGTGCATATCCTTATCAATCGGAATGCTCAAAGGTTATAGTGCACTCAAATAAACAGTTCTCTCTGATAACTTTACATGTTTTAATGACCCCCTGGTAGATTTGTGCTGAAATTTTATTCATTTTAATCTGTTGTAAATCATCTATTCATACTTCCAGAAACAGTGAATAATGCCGGGTACCCCACGGGTTAATACTAGGCCCGGAGCAGGAAGGGCGGTCTGTGACGGTGTCAGTGACTTCATGGTCATCATACTCATCATCACCCCGGCTGTCAACCTGTTCTGGCGGGGAACCTGGAACCTCATGTACGAGTACTTCCCAGGAGACATCATCACGAGCTCCTGGCTGTCCCTCGCCATCGGCAGCCCGGTTCTCCTACTAGCCGGGCTGCTGCAGCACCCCGCCCGAAGGCTGGGGCGCTGGCTTCACGGTAAAAACCAAGGCTGGCATCACCTGTATTTGGTGGTGTACGTGTACGTGGTAGCGTCTGCTTCTGTGGCACAGTGGCGCGGATTTTGGAACCTACCTACGTTCTATTTCCCTGAGTGGGTCAGCGTACTTGGGTACGGCCTGACCGCTGTTGTAGGAACGGGTTTAATGATGGGGTTTCGAATCTTTTCAAACGGCGGCGGCTGCCCGGCTTCGGTAACCGTCGACTTCGAGCCCGATCCCTTCCGAGTCCCGCTCCGATTCCGCACGGACACAGCCGAGCGATTCTCGTGGAGGTTCGCGCTGGACGTCTTCTTCTCGGTGTTCATCGCTGACCTGATCTCATTAGCATATTGGGCGGGGTACTGGGGGCTTCTGGATGTGTTGATGTTCCCGGAAGACCCTTGCTTCTCCTATTGGTTATCCTTTGGCATAGGCTACGTCATACATCTCGTCACGACCTTCCTCCAGTTTCCCGTACACAAAGCTTCCAGGAATCTGCTCGGCGCGAAGCGGGAATTCTGGAAAAGGCTTGCCCTGGAAAACGCGTTTCTGTTTTTGGTGAACTTCGGCGTGATCAACAGTTGGAGGGGACTGTGGGATCTGTATGACTGTTACCTCCTGCCGGACCAGCCCAGGCTCAGCGCCTGGCTGAGTCACGGGTTCGGCGCGCTGATTTGCTGCTTGGTCTGTGCCGGGAGGACGCTAGGCGGTGTAGGGCTCGCCGTGGACGGAGAAGAAAATGACGGGACGGCGATTCTACTCAGCACCTACGCGGAGGTCAGACATAAGCCTACAGTTTTTATGTTTACCGAAGGAAAACATATTGTTTTTGCTACGCTTCTTCTTCATCTTCTTCTGTTTCAAACACTGACCTCTGACCTGGCCAATGACCTGATTTGTTGACGTCTCTCACCGTGGTAACTAGTGCTGGGTTACATCATGTTGCAATTTTATCGTTGGAGGGATTTATACTCCTGTCTGATTATATATTTACTTACTGTTATCAAACGCAAAGAAAGGTTGACCAAATTTTCACAGTGCTTTTCGGTCGCCATAAGGAAAATGGCTTAATTTCCTGACGCGCACTGATCTTCGGGATACGTGACGTCACGATTGGGTCAAAGGTTATCAGAAGTCGATATCTGCCACCGTCCTAGCTTTCCGACTGAGCAAAATACAGGTTATTTGGATATTGACATAACCATATGTAGCGACTATTGCCAAAGGACATCTACGGTTGTTCCTGAAATAAAGGAAGCAGAATGTTTTCTTTCTTTCTTTCTTTCTTTCTTTCTTTCTTTCTTTCTTTCTTTCTTTCTTTCTTTCTTTCTTTCTTTCTTTCTTTCTTTCTTTCTTTCTTTCTTTCTTTCTTTCTTTCTTTCTTTCTTTCTTTCTTTCTTTCTTTCATTCATTCATTCTTTCTTTTGATTCATTGTTGTTTTATTCTTCAGGGCCACGAGAGGCTGCCTTGTCTGAAGCACCTAAGAAAACGTGAAGATGACGACATCGAAAGTTTAGTAACGGTTAGAACCTTCGATGCAGGAGGGAGTAGAAAATCTAACGACCGTACGCCCGATTCAGACCTTGCGGATAGACAAGGAACTGCAGCAGACCACATCAGAAGTTCCAACAGCGAATACTTGATCTAATCAACATCTCCGTACCACACGATGACTTTTTGTAGGAAATCTGACATTTGTGGCAGAATTTTACAAAAATATTGTTATGATAATAATGAAAAACTTGATGCCCATTGCTTGATTAGCAATACCAAAGCAAATAAAAAATTAGAAAAATTTGCTTGCATTTCTCAAAACCTTCGCTAGGTGACGCAGCAACAAATGCATAATGTGTACTTTATCTCTTTTAGTAAGTTTTACAGAATTTAACAGGAACATAAAACATTTTGTACGTAACGTAAGTATAAGCTGCATTCATCAAACATATTGTTTGATGAAGTTGGTGTCAAAGCTGACAGCATTGTATGGAGTCTGTACTGTTACATGAATTTATTCTAAGATTTTATGCATGAATTCGTGCTACTAGTATTAATTAGATAAAACAATGAAATACATCATGCAGATCTGGACAAATGCACAGAATTGTATAATTGTTGATATCCTAGGAATAGCATACAAGTAAGCTTGTGATTTTTCCTCCAGTAAATTATACTGTATACTATAGCTAGTACATCCATGGCCTAATATATGATACCACTCTACAATCCCTCCAACTTCACCAAATTCACCAACGTTTCGACCTTGACTACCCCCCCCCCCCAAATGAAGTACTAGTACACAATAGGGACTTAAAAGAGGGGGGGGGGTCCAGCTTAGCCTACCCTCTATAAGATCTGAGAGGTACAGGCACAGTGCCATTCAATACCTGTCAAAACTCATGAACAATGCTTTGTCTAATGTGTAATCACCCGACTACTGTTTGTATATGTGTACATATCCTTGTTATTCAGTTTGGTTATGTTTGTAAACATTGATGAGATTTTGTGCAGTTGTGTGTTCCCTGAAACTGCTTAATTCAGCCTTTTTAAAAATTGTATCATAAAGCTGCAATGTTGTTTTAGTTTTGTGTCAATTTGCGTGGACGTCCCTGGACACAAAAATAGGTCGTTTGCGAGACAGGTTTTTCCAGAAAGGCACATGCCAGCGGACAGTAGTCTGGTATCCAGTCTTACGTGATTGGGGGTATTGGGGTGTTCATGCAGGTTATGCCTTCGGGGGCTCTAATAGCTTCCCCCGCCCAGTGCAACAGGCCGCCCGTTAGGAGTGTTACGGTAATAAGTGACAGTATGCTTGGGGATTTGGTTTTCCCCCAACACGTGGAGGACTAATCAATCTCTCGTGAACTACACACCGGGAAATCTATGTGAGGCGGGCGGGACAGAGCTCTTGCGGCCCCGACCACGATCAGACTGGATACCAGGCTACCCGCTCCGTCGCTTGGACACAAAAATAGGTCGTCTGCATGACAGGTTTTTCCAGAAAGGCACATGCCAGTGCATAGTAGTCTGAACTGTGCTAAGGCTACCGTAGTTGTACTGTGGCAACTTACTGTAGTCTGAAAACAGGCAGAAAAAATGGCGGACTCTCCCGACACAGAACCTATGTTGGACCCTGGTAAGTTTTTTGCATACTTGTCCAGTTGTTTGTTTGTTCCTTTGCTTGTTTGTTTATGAACTCATGAAGAAAACACGAAGGCTAAATAGAGAATATATCTGAGCTCATTCACATAAAAAACAGAGAATTTGTGTCAGCATTTTTACAATTAGAAATGTAGTTTTTTCTAGTAAATAAACGTTATTTTTGGTTTTCTTATCTGAATTTTGTGACGTCTATGACTCTATCGGAAACAATATGACGCATTTCTATAGCCTCCGTAGCAGGCTTCTAGAACTGGGGGTTTGGTGGTCTTCGGCTGTTTTCTGACTAGCCCAGTTAAAAAAAAACGGAGGTAATTCAACCAGGCCGGCTATGTTGTCTATATGCAATCAGAAAACAGCACATAAAAGCTCCCAAAGACCCTGAAGACCCCCCCAAACTACCAGTTTTTGGCATGCTATGGAGGCTAGCATTTCTATTGTATGTTCTTTTCGTTCTGTCTGTGTCCTTCAAAGAGGACAAGGCACTTAGAGTAGTTTTGAAACATACCTTCTGCAACTATAACGTACACCTTACATCAGTAACAGTTGTGTTTTTGTATTTCAGAAGAGGTCCGTGTACCAAGAACAAGACCGTCAGCTATCCGCTGTGTTGCACACTTCGTCCTTGTGAGCTTCATCATCACCCCTTCTGTCTTGCTGTTCTGGAGGGGAACATTTAACCTCCTGGAGGGGTATCTCCCCGGAGATGATTCTTTTAGACCCTGGCTGTCTCTCGCTATTGGCAGCCCCGTTATTCTACTTGTGGGACTCCTACAGCACCACATCACGAGGCTAGGACGTTGGACAAAGGGCAAAAGTTACGTCCTGTATAGACTGTTTGCTGGCGTGTATTTCTACATGGTTGCAATAGCAGTGGTGGCCCAGTGGGTCGCTTTCTGGGACCTACCAGTGTACCTTATGCCACACATGGATAATATTATTGGACAAGGCATACGGGCAATCCTTGCGTTTGTGATTATGATATTTTTACGTACGGTCGTGCAAGGGAGGGCGTGTCCTGTGGGAGTTTCCTTCGACTTCGATCCGAAGCCTTTCCGAATCCCGCTCCGATTTCACACGGAGATTGCCGAGCGCTGTTCTTCGGGAAAGTTCGTCCTGGACGTCGTGTTCTCGCTATTCGTCGTCGACCTGATCACGGTACAGAACTGGGCGGGGACGTGGAGTTTTCTCGACTATACCATATTCCCAGAAAACCCCTGTTTGTCCTCGTGGGTCTCTCTAGGGGTAGGATACACCCTTTTCCTCCTGGTATCCATCATCCAGTTTCCCCTATACAGAGCCTCCAAAAGTTTAAGAGGAGGAAAACTAGAGTTGGCCAAAAGACTGGCCATAGAAGACACGTACGGACTTGTGGTGAATTTTGCTGTAAATAACGTATGGAGGGGGTTATGGGGTTTATACGACTGCTACATACTGTACGACCAGCCCTGGGAGAGTAACTGGTTGTCGCACGGACTGGGAGCGGCGATGTGCTTCCTTGTTTGTGCCGGAAGTAGTATAGGGAGGCCCATGGTGACTGTAGATGGTGAGGCGGACGACGGGACCGGTGTGCTGCTCCAAGTTTTCACCAGCGAGGAGGTGAGTTTCGATAATGTACTAGTAGTTCTACATAGACTAAACCAGATAAAGTTCACTTACGTGCTAGACTTACTTATTCCGCTAGGTGGCTCCCCTACATTGCCAGTTATGACTTTCGTTCGTTGATTTTACAATTCTTAACGTTGCAACAACGAAATTGACATAATATAACATCTACATTTGAATAATTTCTACAATATGTATGCATTTTCGTAAAATTGTTTTAGAAATTGTCACACTGTGATTTATTTGTTTAACGTTATGTACTTTCAGTATTGTTTTGTGAGATGACGTCGACATGTTTACCATTAGTTCTAATAGGAACCCGAAGAGACGCCCTGTCAACAACAACAACAACGATGCGGTGGTGGCCGAAACAAGCCAGACATTATCTGACGAACTTTCAGTAGATACAAATCAGCACCGTATTTAGGTAGACAGCTGTCAGTTCGATGCATTTATTTTATGTACTAAGGCCACACCAATTTAAATTGTTGCTTCTCGATTGTTGTTTTTTTTTTTAGAAAAAATATGAAGCGACTGGGCGAAAAAAATAAAAACAAGACTAGGCATCCTGTTATAGCCCCAAATGCTACGATAGGAGTCATGACGTCAACACAAAATTCTGGGTTAATATTTAAAGAATGCATTTTGAACTTTTAATCAAACCACTGCATTCAATGGAGATGAGATGGAAAAACTGTAACAACTAGGAAGAAAAGGACTTTCCTCAACTGTTGGAGGCAAAATATGAGCATATTCAAGTTAATTGATTCAGAACCAGAATCTTTTTTTTGTTGCAAATCAGAAAAAAATGAAGAGGCGAATCCGAAAACCAATAAATTAAATTGGTGTGGCCTAAATTGAATGATCTCGATGGGGATGTAGGGTAAAAGTACGGGGCACGTTGTCTATACAAATGTGTGTATCTTGTATCTCATAAAAAGTTATAGTATATATGGCATACAAATGAATCTGTGTGATTAAAACTACACAAAAATCCATTTTCCACTTCTATGATTTCTGTGTTTCAATACGTAAAGAATAATAAAATCTAAAAACTAACTGAAGAAAATAACTGGACTGGATAATTTGTACTTTTTGTTATCATATTGTTATTTATTAATGTTTTTGGTTAGTTACTGTTTTTTCTTTATTATTATTTCCATTATCATTATTTATTGTATCAAAATTTTACTATTTCTATGTGACTGTTGTGTTTTGTTGTGTAAAACAGGGCCCCATTGAAAAGAAGTACATAATCACTTAATGGGCCACCCTGTATAAAAATGACGAAAATAAAATAAATAAATAGAATGACACAGTTGGTACATGCAACTGTCATGCAAATTGGCACGTCTTTATTGTACAAAACAATTTTTTTAAGGTGAACAAGACTTAATCTCATTTGCATGCATGGTCTGTATTTACATACAAGCTAATTTGCATACAGGCTTCAATGATGTGGCTTGCAGTACAAATTTGTACAATACAATCTCGCAAAACAACAAACTTTGAACGAAGTGGCTCCAATACTCGAAATTGGTCCAAATGACCTTTATGTCCAAGCTCTTTGTATTTTACATCTTTAGTATTGTTAAAGATGTATTTTTTAAAAATTGTTTTAGAAAAAAAACTCAAGAAAAAGTAACAACAGATTTCCTGAAATGTCTAAGCGATTGCACAATTCACAGCAAGCCGACAAGTTACACACACTACATGTATATAAAGAAAGCTACAATTGATAAAAGAAACATTTAGATATTTACGATATATTTACATAGACATTGCACTCTCATTGTCACTGCATTGGTGGTATATCTTTTAAAAGGAGCAGCCTCGTTTAGTCAAGATTTGTTGAAATTAAAAAGACAACCTTGTGATAAATCTTAACATAGAAATATAACTTTGTGGTTTTCAATCATGAGTTAGCTTTACACTTTTTTTATATCTTTTTATATATTGTCGGTGAACACAAAATAGCTTTACAGTCTGAATTTCTAGTTGAAATATGGTTAACAATGCATTCTTGATTAGTTAAGATACATTTGTCACCAAGAAATCTTGATTTGTATAGAATTATCTAACCCAAATACAAAGTTCTGAGCCACTTGTTTGAATTCTAATTAGTCATTTTGCTGGTACTGCTTTGTACATTCACAAGTTTGATGCCCCACTGATCATATGAGTATACTTTTCGTATCGCTTGAAATCTCAGAATGGATTTTCTGAAAATTGTATCAAACCAACTGTCCATGTGTGCTCGGTGTTGAATCAAAGTTTCTTGGGTTCTGATTTGCGACATGGACCCAGTAGTACCAACCTTCCAATAGACCCATTTCGAAATACGGACGCCATTTTGAAATGTGCTCTCGCGAGAGCACACAGCCTGGCGAGAACGAGCGTGAACTTACACCAAAACGAGGCCGGGGATGGTTTCCCACAGGTAGTCCCAAACCATGCAGACATGGCAGCGGGCAGTCACCTTCCGTGGCTTGAGTATTCGAGCTTCACGTCGGCCTGTACAAGTTTAATTGCAAATTTCATTTAACTTTGGGTCTATTTGTAGACCAATAGTTGTCATAATTTGGAGGCTGCCTATGCGGTTGCTTCCAATGGCGCGGGCATCGCCTGAGGAGGACCGGTGTCTTGTGTACCCATGTTCTCGGTGAGCGCGATGTTCACGCTGGCGCTTGGTTCTTTCTTCGCCGCCGCGCCCTTCTTCCCTTTACCCGCCTTGGCACCTGGGCGCTTCGCCGACTTGGGTCGTCCGCCGGCACTCCCTGGTTTCGCCTTCTCTGCTTTCTTCTCTTCCTCGAGTTTCTTGGCTAAGAGCGTCTCAGGCTCTTTCTTGTTGGGATCTTGGTCGGAGGTGTTGACTGACGCCTTCTGTCGGAGCTTCTCCATGGTCTTCGGGAAACTCCGGATCTTGTTGTTGGAGATGTCCACCGACTTGATAGACGGGAGCTTCGTGACGGATTCTGGGATACCCTCCAGCATGTTGTCCGACAGGTCAAGGGTCGTGAGGGACTTCATCCTCCAGATGTCCCCTGGGAGAGCTTTGATGACGTTCGCCGAGAGGTTGAGCACCTGTATGCGGTACAGGTACGGCATGTCCATGGGGATGGCCGTCACTTGGTTCCCGGAGGCGTTCAGGACCAGGAGAGACGCCAGGATGTCGATGCGGTCGTTGGGGAGCTCTGGAAGCTGATTGGCTGACAAGTCTAACGTCGTTAGCTGGCTGAGCGTGCCGAAGTTGTCCGGAAGTGACGTCAGCTTGTTGTTGGAGAAGTTGAGGTACTGCAAGGATCGCAGCTTCACGAGAGACGGCATGAACTCGTCGACCTGGTTGTTGGACGTGTCGAGGTGGGACAGGTAGGCGAAGTCCCCCAGTTTCGGCGGGAGGGCAGTGAGCTCGTTGTGCGCCAGGTCCAGGTGCTGCAGCTGGCGGAGTCGGTGGAAGTTCGGCGGTAGGCTGCTCAGCTTGTTGTTGCGCGCGTTGAACTTCTCCAGGAAGCGGAGATTACAGATGGTGGTCGGCAGCGTGGTCAGCTCGATGTTCGAGATGTCGAGCTCGGTCAGACTTCGGAGGTCGTCGCCGATCCGAACGATCAGCGACTTGTTGTCTCCGGCTACCCTCGTGGGAAGTCGGAGAGGATTGCCGGCAACCTTGAGGCACGTGAGGGACCGTGGTGCGGTCAGGACCGGCAGTTTGTTGTCCGACACGTCCAGGAACGACAAGGACCGTAGGAAGTGGAACGGCTCCGGCAGAGCTTCCAGCTTGTTCCTGGACACGTCTAGCGAGTCCAGCGTCCGCAACTTCCGCATGTTGGTCGGGAGGGCGACCAGGGCATTGTGGGAAGCATTGAGCCGCGACAGAAGCTGATCGTCCCCGAGCGTGTCGGGAAGGGTCTCCAGCTTGTTGTGCGACACGTCCACGACCTTAAGGAGTCTTAGTCCTCCGATCTTCGCGGGCATCTCCTTGATTTCATTATGGGCGACGTCGAGGACACGTAGGGAGACCAGGGTGCCTATGCCTTCTGGCAGCGACGCTAGGATGTTGTGAGACGCGTTCAGACTCTCCAGCTTCCCCATTCCTATCAGCCTGTCTACTGACTTCAGCTGGTTGTGCGACAAGTCCAGACTCACCACCGAATCCGTCTTACCGAACTTCGCCGGGAGGGACGTCAACTTGTTCTCGGAGAAGTCGAGCACGTGGATCTTCCTGAGGTTGTGGATCTGGTCCGGAAGTTGCGTCAGGCGGTTGTGGCTGGCGTGGAGGGTGACCAGGCAGTGCCTGAGGTTGCAGATGTCCTCGGGGAGGAAGTCTAACTGGTTGTGCGACAAGTCCAAGAACTCGAGATACCTCAGAGTGCCGATAGTGGGAGGGATACAGTCCAGTTGATTGTGAGAGAGGTTCAACGAGACCAACCGCTGCAGCTTGTCCAGTCCTTCGGGAAGGGTGTGAATCAAGTTGCGGGAAGCATCGATCACATTGATGGAGCACGTTCCCTTCGCGAGTACCGCCGGCAGTGTCCGTAGCTGATTATTGGACACGTTGACGGACGAGTGCAGTTTGTAAATGCTCTTCGGTAGAGTCTTGATGGTGTTACTGGAAGCGTCAATGTAGGTAATAGACGTAGACGATCCGATGTTCTTCGGTAACGTTTTCAGCTTGTTGCCCGAGGCGTTGACCGTTGTTAAAGCTGATGCCTTGTGGATGGTTTTTGGGAGGCTTTTGATTTGATTGGTGGAGGCCTCGATTGACGTGAGGTACTTCAGCTTGGATACGGAGCCCGGGATCGCGCGGACGGTGTTGTTGGTGACGTCCAGGCTTCGTAGAGACTCCAGCCGGCCGATGCCTTTGGGCAGGCGGCGTAGCCTGTTATTCTGAGCGTCCAGATATTTTGTTTTCATCGCTAGCTCCTCGTTTTCACACACCTCCTCCGGTAGTGCCTTCATGTTGCAGGTTGAGAAGTTCATGCGAATGTGTCCGTCCGAAGTGTCCATGAACTGTAGAACAGTTCTGGGGAGAGATTTGATGACTGACCCCGGTCCTTTTGGAGGAGGGGGCTTGTCTTTGTCCCTCCTGCTACTGCCTGACCGTCGACTCATCTTGGCGTTTGTTTTCCTACTTTTTTCTCAGTCGTCACAAAGTCGCCATCTTGGAAACGCGTTGCTAAGTATTAGACTGTTGTTACGTCTGCAGTTGCTATCGTCTGGTAAAGGTCGCAAGTAGGCAAGGATTTTGAGGTTTTTCCGTCAGATTTTGAGGTTTTTCCGTCAGATTTTGACGTTTTCCCGTCAGATTTTGACGTTTTCCCGTCAGATTTTGACGTTTTCCCGTCAGATTTGGACGTTTTTCCGTCAGATTTTGGACGTTTTTCCGTCAGGTTTTGACGTTTTTCCGTCAGATTTTGACGTTTTTCCGTCAGATATGTCCTAGTTTCAGCGGGCCGTGACGTCGTTTGTTCTTCCGTGCCGACCCCAGCGGTGTAAGCCTCTAGAAGAATCCCACCTGCCACAAAAAGAACAAGAACAAAATGGCCGATCAGTTTCCACGGAGTAAACGTATAATATGCCTCTAGGATCAAAGAACAAATCCCTCGCCTGACCCAACCCCACGGTTTACTGCTAACCAATAGTATATATTACGCTTAGCCGGCTTTACATAAGACTTTAGAACTACGCACGTATACGTCAATTGGCAGCTGATACCAGTATTAACCGGCAAACATGCTTGAGCTTTGAGCTCAAATTGAATCCCCACAAAAGATATTGACATTTAGAAGGCGTGAATTATTGATTGATAGTCCAGAAAAAACAGACGGCCGAACAATGGGTATGATACGTAGACGAATGACGGGCTGTTCTTTTTTTTTTCATTCCTTGGGTAGGTAAACAATAGCACCTTATTTGTCAACGTTCTCTTCAACAGATTCAAGTACCATCGCCTTACACAATGTTTTTCAATTATCAAGGTATTTAACTTGCATAATGTTGAAATGATCATTTGTGTTTGGCAAATTCAAACACCCTTTCGTGCACCGTGGACCTAAAATACGACGAGAGTAAACAATGTCGGATAAATTGTTGTATCAAAGGTCTTTCCAAAGTACACGTACCATTCTGTGGTTAGATATTAAGTCGTTCCACCAGTCGTATGAAAATTAATCTTTGAGTGTTAATCGGAAATGGATGAACTGTATGTGGACTTAGGTAATCTTTATGTCGGAATTGTGGAGTGTTAGCTGACGAAATGTACTGGTTCGTGGCCATTTTGTAAACATTTTTTTTTATTCCAACATTTCATGACCAAAAATGGCGACGGCACACTCAAGTTATATCAACTTATTTTATGCCGCCACCAGCACAGAGTACAAATACAGGACAGGACAATACTCATTTTCACTTGAGTTAAGTGAGGAAAGTCGTGTTAAGTACATTTCCCAAGGGCACAAGATCGGTGGCATGTCAGGACTCGAACCCGGGACCGCTTGGTCGAGCACTCTGCCGCTCTGCCACACGACCCCATTTTGTAAATATGTTTTTGACCAAACGCACTACACTAAAACGTATACAATCCACACGTCACCTTGTAACATGGAGACTCAGCAGATAAAAAATATATGATATCTATAATAATATGCAGCATTTTGAATAATACATTCCTCCACAGTCCTGCTATACAATTTTACGCCAGCAAAACTAAACATCTACCAGTCTCACTCTTAGTTGCAACAATTCTGACAAAAAAGAAAAAAAAGAAACGAAATACCTTTTTCAAAACACGTTCACGGCAAACATATACATACACAGTCAATGTATATGTATATGACTACAGCATAATGATATCGTATATACATGGTCTGCACGTATCTGACCGTATAATCAGTGGTTTCTATAAACATAACCATTCTGCCAAATCTGACAAAAATTAAAGAAAAGATATACCTTTTTCAAAACACGTTCACGGCAAACATATACAGTCAATGTACATGTATATGACTACAGCACAATGATACCGTATATACATGGTCGGCACGTATCTGACTGATAATCAGTGGTTTCTATAAACATATCCATTCTGCCAATTCTGACAAAAATTTAAGAAAAGAAATACCTTTTTTAAAACACGTTCACGGCGAAAACATACACAGTCAATGTCCGTGTATATGACTACAGCACAATGATACCGTATATACATGGTCTGCACGTATCTGACCGATATCTCTCCATGTATATGACTACAGCACAGTTACCGTATATACATGGTCTGCACGTATCTGACTGATAATCAGTGGTTTCTATAAACATATCCAGTCTGCCATGACTACCATACTATGTACAAAACAAACCTGATTTTACGTATACCCCCTATGTCACCATTAAAATGTCTACTTATAAGCGTAACACCCTCATAACCAACTCAACAATGACTTCATTCTCTGACAAAGAACCAATTACTTAGAGATTTGTGCCATGTTTTGTTCATTTTATCCCTAGTGATATTTTCGAGTTGCCGGGCTTTTGAGATTTTCTATACCATTTCTATTCGCCCCTATGTTAGCAATATTGACTTCGTGGGGAGGTATATAATAGTACACATAGCCACTCTTGACAATGCCAGCTTTCTCTGTGTGGTAGGGTAGATATTTTTACCTCCATTAAAAATGGAGGTATTGTTTTTGGCGCGTCTGTCTGTTTGTCTGTGTGTGTTTCCACAACTTTGTGGTCAGCATAACTTCAGAACGCCTTTATGGATTGTAATGATATTTGGTATGTTGGTAGGTCTTAGGAAGACAAATGTCTGATTCTGTCTAATGCCTGTCGCTGATTCGCCCTATACTAGAGTATGGTCATGTTTTGCTCGTTGGCTGTAGTGACGAGCTGTCCACTAGTATGGAACGAGTACAAAAACGCGCTGTGCGCATCATCTCCCTCGGGGGAAAGCGAACAGTTCCAAAGCTCCCTTCTTTGAAAGAAAGGAGGGAAGCGGCCGCTTTGAAGCTGTTCACAGCTATGATAAAGCCTGAGCACCCACTACATGACCTAGTGCCCCTCCAACGGTCCACAGCTACAGGTAGATGCTTGCGGAACGACAGTGCCTTCACTGTGCCAAAAGCCAGGACTGAGCGACTGAAAAGGTCATTTGTTCATTGTGCGGTAAAACTGTACAATGAGTCTGTTTCATAAGCTATCCCATGCTGTATCGATCTGCATCCAATTTTGTTATCTTTAAGCTGTTTATTGTTCATTGATTGTATTGTATTATGTGTTTTGATTATATTGTAACAAACTATCCACTTCAGGGAGACTCTTGTCTTTCCCTGCATATGTATGTTTGGTGGTTGGAAAACCAATAAATAAATAAATGTTAAGGTCAAATACGGAGGTATGAGATCTCCGAATTCTTGTTAGCGTTTGTTATGAGGTTTCAGGCCTCAAAATCTGTTGCACAACGTATGTACTTTTTTTTTTTACATATTGGTGTTAAGAGGCCAACCAACAAACTAGTCTTTTTCGTAAGGAAAAAAATACACATTTTTGGAGTATACAAAGTACTCAAGTATGGATAAACGTGGATTTAAAAAAAACAAACATGGATTTTGTTTCAAAAAAGGCCAACAAGCGAACTAGTTTTTTGTAAGGAAAAAAAAGACACATTTTCGGAGTATACAAAGTACCCAAGTATGGATAAACGTAGATTTAAAAAAAAAAAACATGAATTTTGTTTCAAAAAAGGGGAAAAAACCATTGCGTTTGTCGTTTCTATGGAGATAGACAAATACACCTATTCTTTACCATAATTCTATAAACGACGTTGCTAACTTAGTTAACGAAATTGATAAACAAGCTAAAACCATTTCACAAATCCTATTTTCTCAATTTTCACATGGGACAGCGTTGTCCTTTGTCAAATAATTAGTTGTTATGTTGTTGTTGCTGTTTACAATAAAAGCTTGGGAAGTGTTATGTCTCGCCCAGTGCGCGGTTCGCACGAGCCTTAGCCCAACTTAATCTACCTGAACAAAAGTGACTTTATGTGAGCAAATAGTTCTAAAAGCGGGTACATAGCCTGGTATCCAGTCTTACGTGATTGGGGGTACGTGTTGGGGTGTTCAGGCAGGCTGTGTCTTCGGGGGCTCTAATGGCTTCCCCCGCCCAGTGCAACAGGCCGTCCCGGTAGGAGTGTTACGCTAATATAAGACAGTATGCTTGGGGATTTGGTGGAGGGCTAATCAATCTATCGTGAAATACACACCGGGAAACCTATGTGAGGCGGGCGGGACAGAGCTCTTGTGGCCCCGACCACGATCAGACTGGATACCAGGCTGGCGGGTACCAAGCACTGGGCCACTTCATAGCGATACTTCTGTAAACAAAGATTTAGAACGCTCGAGTGTTTTTACCCAGACACCATAGACTTGTAAATACTTGACTCACATACGAAACAAAAGAACGTCCAAAATTCACAATTTCAAGTGTGGGAAATTTTCAGAATGGTTTGATAATCTCTCATGTAGTTCTTTTGTCTCAAACCGACCTTAGAATTGACCCTGATATGACAGTTATGTACAAGTGTGCGATGTATGTGGTTAGGTAAATAGGAACCAAACTTTTCGGCTTCGCGAATTTTTCAGGAGGCTGGAAACGTTTTAACAGAGGCATGCGGACGTTTTCCGGTAGTTTTTGTCTCAAAAGTAACTCTGAGTGTCTTTAAGGGCTATTGAGGGGGGTGGTACGATCTTGGAGCACCCTTAAGAGGGGCAGACAGTGTGTGTGTTAAGGGTGACTGCACAAACAGTGTTTTGGGTGTTAGAGTGGGTTGGTAGTGGGCTAACGACAACTTTTCTGTGCTAAACGATGCAGCGAATGTCTGGTTGTAACGTGAGCACCTGATTCGGCACCACTCCATTCAGAACACTTCTGAACTCTGGATATTCCGTAATGTTTTGCCTCAGGGGACAATTTATTAACAAGCCACATCTGCTATTTGGTGGTCTAGATTTTATCTAGCCTTTCTTTTTCAGGAAATGGAGTCACCACAGAAATGCGTTGTCACGAAGACTTGTGCAACGCAAAGCTAGAATACGTAAAAACCTAAACAAGGAAGCGAAGTCATTTTTATATCCGCATGTTTTCTGTGTGTTTTCATTTTCTATTTTTTTCCACCGATCGCGAATTACATATACATATGTAGTGCTGTGTACCTAAATCCACATTTAGGTTCAGGTCCGGATTCAAGTCCAGAGGTTTAGGTTCAGTTCCA